AGAGATGGTGATGTAGTAAGACTGATTAGAGCATGTGAACAAAATGGAAACAAGTTAGTTATATTCTATGTAACAAACGAATATCAAGTAAATTAGAAGGAAAATTCTTAGGATGCTTATTAGGTTAACTACATGGTATGGAGTGGAGTATTGGCATTGAAAAAGAAACAAGAATAATGGGCTCATGTAATGAAAATTATGATGTTATAATAGATGATAGGAATAACTAGAAGAGATGGGATTAGTATAACAAATGAGTTTGGAGAAATTAGGAATAATGCTTATTAATGACCATAGTCATATACAACGTAGATCCGATGATGCACCGATAAAAAGATGAAGTGTTGTTAGCTTTTAAAGTAAACAACAAAGAAGTCAGACCAAAAGTTAATGAGGCAATCAAAAATAATTTTTTAAAATTAAATATTAGATTAAAAGTAATGATGACAAATGTTAGAGCTTTGAAAAAAAACCCATGAAATAGATGTGAGAGAAGAATGTTACATATATATAGAGAGAGAGAGAGGAGTTGTACATAATAGCGAACATATAAGTTGAGCATGGAGGCAGAAGGTTGATCACGACAAGAAAAAAGAGATTTGCGAAATAGCAAAGCGCAATTGTCACAAGCTCCCTTAAATATCATCAGGTTTAGTTTTTGGTTAACTGGTAAGTTTGAAGGTTGATCACGACAAGAAAAAAGAGATTTGTGAAATAGCAAAGCGCAATTGTCACAAGCTCCCTTAAATATCATCAGGTTTAGTTTTTGGTTAACTGGTAAGTTTGTATACATGAAGAAAAATATTTACAGAGAGAAAGGAAAGTAAAACAAAACAAAAATTACCAAAGGACCAATTGGTACAGCGGTATCACTCCGAGGAAGCGGGTTCGAACTTCGGTGGATGTAGGGTGTGTGAGTAATTGTTTTAACTTTCAAAAAAAAAAAAATGAATAAATAAATAAAAAATAAATAAGGCTCTCAACCAAGAGCAAGCATCACACACGATTTGCTTGATCTAATAAGAATTCGACATCAATATGCTCAATGAACAGAGAATAAAATGGAAGTCTTTAGTCTAAAAGAAGATGACCATGAGCAATAGAGCATCCATGATTGAACAGCTGCACCAAGTCATCATCCCTGTCCACCTGACTTAGCTCAGGAGTTCCATTTTCCTCTCTGTTCATTGAGCAGCAGATTGACGTTGAGCTCGTACTTTAAATGTTCTTATAAAAAAATCATATAAAAATACCTTATGTTTTGGAATTGCAATTGGAGAAAATTTAGTACAAAACTTAAACTAAATTTTCTTCAATCTCAAATCCAACGCATTGAATCGGAGCTTTCAAACACAGGGAATAGATATTGGGATCACTGGCATACCGTATTCATCTGATCACACCAGGGATGCTGTCAATTTATATTTGGGGGAAAAAAGCTGGATCATCTATATATGAAATGAACCTAGGGTTTATTTTAGGGCCCCTAAAAAACAAAATTTGTAGTACATTTTTGTATAATCTTTTCAAGTTCCCCACACCCACATATATATAATGAGCATACTCATATAATTACAGATATAGATATATAGATGTCATGATTATCATCATATTAATTTGTTGATATAGCTAGTGCAAAAGAATATCAAAATATGTTGAGGAAATTAAGATGTTTACAAGTTATAACGAAATTAGACCTTCATTTGATTGAGGCTGGTGGTGAGCCTAGCGTGCTGATGCATTCATCCATGCCCCGGTGCATACAATGGCAGTATAGAACGTGAAGTCATGTGTGATGATTGTGCTCCAGCGTGAAGCCATTGCCGAGTCTGAAGTAGATAGCGGAATTTATCAACAAGTCTACACCAATGGAATTGCTAGATGTTGAAGTAATAGACGGCAAAGTTGCCACACCTCTCCCAGTGAAAGCATGGTGTACATCACATACATATAGAGCTGGACGTAGTGGATCCGGGAAGAGCAACGATGCAAGTGATGCTAAAGATAGCGAGCCAGACAACATGGAAATGCAATGACTTGGAGAAGAATATTTGAGCTCCACTGCATATGCTAAACAATGCACAAGTATAGTGGCGATGGAGAAAGTAGTTGTTATCGGATGTGTGTCGAAGGGAGAGTAGTTCTTTCCATTATATTTGATTTGGAGAAAGTTTAGGAGAAGTGGAAGGACAAAACCATAATGGGATGACGATAATTTGGAGAGAGATGTTCTCTCTAGAAGATGATAGATATGAGGATATTTCTAATGATGTTAAGATTGACAGTAGTAGGCATTGGGCTTTCAGATGGCATTTCCATCAAGATAACGTCTCTATATATATATATACTTAGATTATAATTCCTTATACGCTTATAATCTAACATAATTAACATACGCAATGGAGCTCAAATATTCTTCTCCAACTCATTGCATTTCCATGTTGTCTGGCTCGCTATCTTTAGCATCACTTGCATCGTTGCTCTTCCTGGATCCACTATGTCCAGCTCTATATGTGATGTACACTACGCTTTCACTGGGAGAGGTGTGGCAACTTCGTCGTCTACTACCTCAACATCTAGCAGCTAAATTCCATTGGTGTGGACTTGTTGATAAAATCCACCATCTACTTCAAACTCGGCAATGGCCTTACACTGGAGCGCAATCATCACACATGACTTCACGTTCTATACTGCCATTGTATGCACGGGGACATGGATGAATGCATCAGCAGGCTAGGCTCACCACCAGCCTCAATCAAATGAAGGTTTAATTTCGTTATAACTTCTAAACATCTTACTTTCCTCAACATATTTTGATATTCTTTTGCACTACCTATATCAACAAATTAATATGATAATAATCATGACATCTATATATCTATATCTGTAATTATATGAGCATGCTCATTCTATATATGTGGGTGTGGGGAACTTGAAAAGATTATACAAAAATGTACTACAAATTTTGTTTTTGAAGGTTTGGAGTTGAGCGCCTAGAAACAGTGACCCTTCTCATACTCCGCAACAGACGGACTACCGACTAGTGGTGGAAATGTGTGACGACTTTGTGGGTGATTGTGAAGCACTACATGTGCACAATTTCACATTGCTACAGATGAATGTTATCTTTAAATGGTAAGCCTTTTGACTAAAACTCAAGAACAAAACTGTATGTAGGTGGTGGAGTGGGCTGTTACTAGATTATGATCTTTGTCCTAGATTTGAAAGTCTAGGTTTAATTTAAAGGAAAAAAATCTGAGCGAAAAACAAGAATAGGAGTAATGTAATGCATTTATTGGGCTGTAAAGGCTCTTGTGGTTATGGCCTAGGAGTAATTTAATGCATTGATGGGGCTGTAAAGGCTCTTGTGGTTATGGCCCAGGACGAGTGATTTGCTGCTAATTAAGAGGCGGCATTATGGCGGAGCTAGCAGAGTCACCGGAGGTCAGTGGCGGCGAAGGAAATTGGTCTGGGTAAAAAAGTCAGAGGTTGATGTTATTGGTTGTGTTTTGGGTGTAGGCTGTGCAGTGGAGCAGAGATACGTGAATGTGAAGAGGAAAGAGATGACAATGGCATCACCGTGGTGTTCTTGGGGAGAGGAATATTGTGTACCTATGTGAGGGGAGAGAGAGAGAGGTATATATATTTATATATTAATATTTAATCAAGATGATTCTATCTCATTAATATATTAGAATTGTTAAAATATTTCTCCAAACACACATATACATGATACATCAAATATTATTTCAAATATATAAAACCTATATATATATTTATTTTGAGAATGAAATATTTTTACTTTAAAAATACATCTATTTATTTTTAAGATAATGAATTTGGAATTACATTATAATGGATATTGTATTTTCAATATATATAATGGGTTTTGTTGGCAGGGGCATCGCAACATTTCAAAATTAGACCTTCTTATGTTTAATATATGAATATAATATTAATAATTTTTATTCAAGGAAACATAAAACATTATTTGAATTTTTAATTTTAGAAATAGTAATTTAATTTTGTAGGCAATTAATGTGTGAGGTTCTAAAAGAAATATAATGACAATTATTGCCATGTAATAGAGATAATATTTTGTTTTGTTTTGCAGGCAATTGGATTTGGCTTTTAAGTCACGCAGGACTCTTTTCCAAATAACAATAATGTTAGGCATTATGTCTCAAAAATCTAAGTCCAATTCTTAATTGTTTCTTTTTACTTACCAAAAACAAAATAATAATAATTCTTAGTCCAATTAGGGTTCTATTTTGAAATCCTATTTATTAGGAAATTTTTTATTTAAAATTGGGTTGGATAATAAAGTTGCACTTTCTTTAAAAAAATAAAAATAAAAAAAAAAATTCGATATTAAGCTTGAACACTTTGAGAGCACTCAATAGGAACTTTGGATTTAGGATTAGAAGAAATTTAATACAAACTTTTAGTTAAATTTTCTCCAATCCCAAATTCAAATTGTTGTGCTCCAAACGTAACATTAGGTTTTTTTTTGGGTGTAGAGGGGGGAGTGTAATTGTAATTTTTGTCTAATAAAGATTAGTGTCATTGACTCATTGCACTCCATAATTTTTTTCAAGAGGAAATTAGGATACGAAGCCTGGTACTGTCTGAAGCGAAATATGCCCAAAACAGCTACAGGCTAAGCCCACCTGAGTTTAAACATAGCCTTTGAGACACGAAGATGGAATGAGTTGAAAAAAGAGCTAAAAGCTATTCAAACTCCGACCGGTGAGTGGGAGAGGAGGAGGGTTGTCAGTGGTGGCACCCATGCCCCCACTCACAGTTAGACATTCGGACTCCCTGCACAACACTAATTATTGTTGATGGATGCCTACAGAACATGCAGAACTTACTGTTGTTCATATTGATCTTTCGACCTTTTCTACAACAGTTCTAACAGCACTATACAAGGTCTTCCCATGGTGGAAATACATGATTGACTATCAGAAATGAAACTAAAAGCTTGAGCATGAGGGAAATTAAGGATCAGACAAATAACTATGACATACAGCAACAACACTTCCAAGCCATCCAAACAAAACAACAATGTATACATACATTTTTATTTTCGCTTACTCCAGCCCTAAACAAGTCGATCTCCCCCTGCAAAACCCTATCAAAGAAGAAAGGTGAGGTTTTTGCATAGTACGTGTTTCCACGGTAGTAGGACGTTTCAACATTTCCGAGGAAATCAATTACTGTATCATTTCATTTTTGCTGGTCATGAGACGAGATTGAACTGACAATCATTGATTTCATGTCAGTGACTACATCAGATGTGTTGAGATCACAGCAGCCTGTGGCTATTGATAGAGAGAGAGAGTACAACAAATTAAAATCATCACCATAAATGATAATATGAACTGTAAACAATGCCCTATCTCAAAATTCTAAACAATTGCACAGATTCACATTAAAAATATATATATCATTGCATTTTGTTGCTAACTACCATCACAGTGTTCAACATATAAATGTCTTGGAAGTACAAATTGACTGCAACCTAATTGTGGGTATATATAGAACAATAAGATACAAAAGACAAGAAGCCACATGAATATGGCACCATATGATGTTAGTATTCATTCTGCTTCTTCAGCAGGTGCCATGTGGTAAATAACTGTCTCATTAGAACTTACAGGATTGGCATGATACTGCCCGTAAAATGCATATATACCAACTGAAATAATGCTGAGGACGACAAATCTCACCCAGGCTTCATGGTGTAACTGCAAAACACACAGAAAAAAAAGAATAGAAAAGGTTCAAGTGTTGGTAGTCAACTTGGAAATGTTAATCCGTTGACATTTGATTCACAATCTCATTCCATGCTAGTTTAGTTAAAGAGGTATGATGTAGCAAAACCTGAGCAAACAGGAACATGTTGAAGAAGATGCAAACAGCCGGCACAATTGGAACACCTGGACAAGAAAAGCCTGGTGGATCCATATAAACCTGCATAAAAGATAATGCAACCTATACATTTGTACCAGGACTAAAAAGGAAAGGACAAAATAACTTGCAAAGGAGGGAAGCTAGCAGTGTTCTGTTGGAAAATGAAACAACACGGCAAAAATGCATTCGCACACTAAATTATTCTTTACCTTTCTTGAACTGATTGCCTGGCTAAGTATATTTGCAGGAGAGCTAGGGAAACACTTCCCCCCTCACCACCGTGGCTACCTAATAACTGCATTTACCAAGGGAGCTACCTAGTTCAACTACATATTCCATTAGCTCTCTCTCTCTCTCTAGTTCAACTACATATTCCATTAGCTCTCTCTCTCTCTCTCTCTAAAAACTATTGTAATGCATGGTGCCCACAATATAAAAAATAGTGACATCATGTATCTATGGTGTAGAATTGCACTTACTTGACGGCGATAAAGAACAGCAGAAGCAAAGATCGCAATGACTACAGCTACAACCAGAAAGATAAATGAAGCACTGAAACGATAGAGAACTCCAGCAGCAAAACCGGTAGCAGCAATTACGATGAGGCAAATGACCCCTTCCTGCCTGTTCGAAATCCACTTCCTAGAAACTTGACTTGCAGCTTTATCCCTCCAGCGGAGGGTTACAACACATGCTGAAACAACAGAATAGCCCGTCTGAAACAAATCGAAGTGTTCATATGAGGTGCATTCAACCCAAATCTAAATATTACTAAGATACACTAGCCAGGGAGTACTTTTATAGGCACATATATTTCATAGTAATTTATAAAATTCTAAAATTAGCCATCACAGCATGCCATATAATATAACTCAACTTGGGCAATTCTTTTCTCTGGAATAGCTATGCAATAATTTAATTGGTAACTGCATGAACTTCATACAAAGGTAAAATGCAGAACATTTACCCTGTTTTTGGGAAAACAAATAAGATACATTTATCAAATTCAACTTGTCAAGTACAAAAGATAAGCAACCTACATACCAACGAGCCAACAGAGAGAATGTGTGAGAGCACATGCACATTGAACAGCCCTGCCAAGACACCAGCAATAATACCAACCCAGACCTGAGAATGAATTGGAGTGTGGCGTATTGGGTGTACTTTAGCAAATATTGATGGTAGTAAACCATCCCTTCCAAGCCCAAGATATAGCCGAGACTGCTCATGAAAAAATTCCATCATCTACATTGGCCCTTTATGTGACAAAGACATGTTAATATAAGGAAGTTTATAGTGCTTTACCTGAACGTAAAGACCAACTAGAAGGGTCGTAGTAAGTCCAGCAACAGCACCAAAGCTAATTAACACAGAAACATATTTCAAACCCTTGGATATGAAAGCTTCAGACAAAGGAGCTTCTTCCCCAAGGAACTTGTAAGGTACCATTCCAGTAAGCACTAAGCAAACACCAATATACAATACAACACAAATAAGAAGGCTTCCCATGATGCCCAGTGGCAAGTCCCGCTGCATGTCGTGTTGAAAACCAAAAAATAAATAAATAAATATAGATGCAAAACTATCAGAAATTAAAAACAAAAATCTCAACATGAAAAAACAGTGGTGAGAATTCCAACATCAAGACAGTAGCAACTAGCAACACAGGCATCAAATCATCTCACTAAGACTTACCTGTGGCCTTTTAGACTCTTCAGCTGAATTAGCAACCGCATCAAATCCAACATATGCAAAAAATACTACAGTGGCTCCAGTCAGTATGGCTTCAACACCATTCGGAGCAAATGGAGACCAATTTGAAACATCAACCTTAAAAGCACCAACAATGATGACAAAAATAACAATGACTACCTGCATCAAATTTGGTGTACCACCAGTTACATCATTGATGTGAATGCAGTATCCATTGCATCAGAAATATTATTTAATCTTTAATTATTTGAAGCATTTGACTATTTGTTGAAAGTAGAAAGACCACAACATCTTAAACTAACTGTACCACAGGGCATAAATGAACAGCTGATCTATAACAAGCAACCAATCTCCTGAGTAAACAGTTTTAAAAACTAATATTCAAATTTTAAGTAATAAAATATGTTCTACATGGAGACCTGAGATGGACTCACACATACATTATTTGCAAACTGCGCATGTATCATATTAGAATTGTTATAATTTATAAATAAAATAAAATAAGGGATCTACTACAAGTAAAGAAAACTGAAAAATTTGTAGTATAATAAATAAGACCAACAGAACATTGAGCAACCACTAGACGCGTTTGAATGAGGATGTTTAGATATATGATAGCAGAAGGCCAGAAAAGATGTAGCAGAATCAGATATATACAGTAGAAGCCTGATGCACCTTCATTCTATTTTTGTAGTAGTTTCGGTGTTAGAATATCCTCCCTGGACTCTATAGACTGAAAGAAAATAAAATTAAAAATTAAAAAAAAAAAAAAAAAGCTCTCATTTATCACCACTGAGATGTCCCCTTAAGATTTGGTTGACAACAATCACTTCATTAACGTTCTTTATATCCAAAGCAATGATCAACACCATCAAACCAATTTAAAACTCATCAAGTTCGAATTAACCCTGAAACTACTAAATATCTTCTCTAATCCCCAAATCTAAAGGGTATCACTTAAACATGCGCTTTCTCATCCTCAATCCATTCTTGGTCTCCTCACAGACTTCAAGAACGCCACCCTTCAGTTAAATAGAAGATGCAAACAAGGAACCAGACCGCAAGGATGCCCAAGAACTAATACATGAGTAACATGACACAAAAGATGACCATAAAAAGCCTTAATTTGAAACTATTTTGACCATAAGATGTAAAAATGAAACCTAAACTCTATAAAGAAGCATTGGAACTCTAGGCCAGATTTATCTAATTTATAATCATTAGACAACCTAAAGGACCTTCAAAGCTCCAAAACAACGTGCTGGAACCTAGAGACAGATTAAACAATAGTAAATGATATCCAAACCCCTAGGACAGCAAGTTAACTTGCTAAAAGTAAACTACATGCAAGTCATTTCATCAAAAATTTGGTAAGCATAAAAATGATTTTTTTTCCCCCCTTTACTTACTCAGTTTAATTGCAACAACAAACAAAACATTTTCCCAACTATTTGAGGTTGGCACTTACTTTAATTGCCAATTGAAATTCTAAACCTCAACTTTTGAATGCAACCCTAAGCAAAATGCATACATTTGTCTCATACACTATGGGGATAGTGAGAAGATACATATTTTACATCCCAAAGGGAATAAGAATAATTTATCAAAAAAAAAAAAAAAAATCTGATATAAAAATAAAGAGTGCAACCCTTAAAGCATAACATTCTTAAGGAAAACAAAACTCTAACAACATGACATGTAGTCAAAATCTATTACGGAACATACAACAGCCAATAGTCCAGCACATAAACCCTCAAATTGCCATAAATTTGCAAAATTACCCATTTTACTCCAAAGGATTGTACTTGCTCTAAGTAGTCATGGTAAGCCATGTGACAACTTAATGGAGGACAAAGGTATCTTCCCATAAGAGAGGCAAATAACACACCCAACTGGTAAACTTAACAGAACAATACAAACTTTTAGCAAGTATTCTAACAAAATAGACAGTAAACACAGAAAAACAACCCAAAACAAGCTAAATTATCTACTAATAGGATTTTTAGATACTCCAATACAACGTTAAAAGCAGGCAGAATATAACTTTGCATCCTGCAGTTGTGGCATTTTATTTCCTCACTAATACGTAGTAATAAATATTCCTGAAGTCCTAAATAAAGTCTTTGCAATGTTATTGATGTTCCTTGGGTTTTACTTTTTTTATTTTTTCAATATCACGTGATTTCATTATAAAATTTTGATGTCCCCATTGGCAAACATATTCTCCAAATAATTTTTAATTTCCCATTAGTAGTAGACGTGTTTATCTTCAAATTTTCATGATGCTTCACCAAAAATTTCTATTCTAATAATATATCTTCTAGCATTTGTCGCGTTATAAGGGATTATCAGAAATGAAGAAAATGAGTTTATAATTTTATGAAAAACATTAGGTTAAAATACATGAGAATGGTCCCATAGGTTAAAATACATGAGATTAGTCCCATAGGATAAAATACATTAGAATGTCTAAATTTTCTTCATAAACGGTCAATTAGTGAGAAAGCCCAACTCTTCTGCATTTTCCAATTTGTATCAAAACCAAGAAAGGAACAGTTGCTGTATCCATTTCTCAATGTTGTAGAATCAATCAACTTTATATTTTGGTCTACCAGCTCTCTACTTCTTTAACAGAAACGCTATTTGGAAAGACGGATCTTTTTTTTATTAAAAAAAATATACGTTTTACTTTGGAGGGGAAAGTTATTCCCATAAGGCATATGCCTCAACTTGAGTCATGTAAAAGTTATACACCTCCTCAGTCCACAAGGGGTGTTCTTTTTCCTTTTTTTATTTTTTATTTTTTTCTTATGGTTTAAGCTTTCAGGCTAGCCTTCAAATGTTTCTTAACATCCGATCCCTAAAGGAATTAATCCTTACAGATTGAGATTCTGATCCTGGCAACAGCGACATAAAAGAAATGTAGGATAGAAACATCACCTTTGTCATAGTCATAAACGAGTTTAATATGGATGATTCTCCAACACCCCAACAAAGAATTATGGTCAGAAGTACCAGGAGAATTGGAGCTAATACGTTGATAGAAAGAACTCCAAAAAACTCCTCACCACCATGTCCAATCCAGTTTGGTATGTTACCCTTAAAAAGAGGAATGAGTTCTATTATTGCAACTACATAGCTTGCTAAGCTTCGTGCTATGCTCGCTGCACCAATATGATAGTCAAGCATCAGTTGTGCAAACACAAGAAAAGCTGTAAGCTCATTGAAAGCTGTGTACGTATATAAGTAGGCTCCCCCAACAACTGCCGGAAATCGAGAAGCTAGCTCGGCATAACAGAGTGCATTGAGTACACAAGATGCTCCAGCAAGTATAAAGCTTATTGTAACTCCTGCATTCAAGTAGGAGAGAATGTATGAATAATATAACCAAAAACCAGCCATATTTGGGTAAGCCAAACAATTCAAATTCCAAGAACAATGTTAGAGCTAGTTTGGATGGATTTTCTAAATCAGTAACATACCGCTTTAATGAAAAACCGAGTTCAAAAATAACCCAAACCTAAATGGAAACATATATACTCTTTAATCATACAAAATAAAGTAGCTATGAAGAATGGACTGTTAGACCGACGGGCCAGTGGCCTAACGGTATCAGCCTCTTACTTCCCAAAGGGAGGTCAGGAGTTCAAATCATTCAAGTCTCAGTAGAGACGTGTGTGTGAGTACCAACTAGGAAAAAAAAAAAAAAAAAATGGACTGTCAGAAGATATAAATATGACACAACGCAGAAATGCCAATATGACAAAATTTGTAAGAAATTAGGAAGCAAACACAATACGGACAATTAAAGGACTACATGTATCTCTCCTCATATATAAATACATGTAAATTAGGTAAAGTTACATTACCTCTCGTGAGATTCAGACAACTATAGGGACCACCCTTTAGGCTTTGGAGTTGCACTGCATTCTTCTATACTTTAGTTGTTTCTAACAAATTACTGATTCTAATAACTATTTATGAATGGTAATGATACAAATTCCTGATGTCATCTAACAATCAATTAGAATATCATATACTTCTAAAATAGTCAAAAATATATATAAAAAGTTGAATATACCCTTAATAAAAACTTTAAATGTCAACTGTGCCCTTAAAATACACATAGCTACTGTAAACCAGATTTATCTCTATCTTCTTCTTTTTTTACTAGTAACCAGATTCAGCTCTATCTTAAACCAAGTAATTTAAGGTGTAAACACAGTTCATTAGCTAATGAACTAACATATCAACTAATTAATTTTGATTAGTCATGGCCTCGATCAATTGATGATGAACAAATTCATTTGAACATTCCCACAACAAATGATCAAGCAATAATAAAACTAAAGAAGAAAAGCCTTACAGCATCATTCTCTTCTCTTTCTCGCTGTTCACTAACTCCTAGGGGCCCTAGTTTATGCACTAACTTAGGGAAAATCTATTTATCCACAAATTGGTGATTTAAGAGCGCACAAAAGTCCTTTGGATTCCAGATACTCCAGTTCTAAGTTGGAAGGCCAGCCACTCCTAATCAGCATTTCATTGATTGTTCCATTTTACCGAAATGGAGCATACTGGCACTGGAGTGTTTTGACATACCATTTCAGTTTTTTTTGTCAGTATATGTTTATAAAAATGTAGAAATTAACACGTCTAATAAATGAAATATACAAAAAAGAAAAAATATATATATAGCACTACCTCCAACAAGCATGTCCTTCACCAGGAATTTACCAAAAAGATATATTTGAATGAAAGAAGAAAGATAGAGGGGATGCAATAAAAAAAATTACATACAAAATTTACACAAACATCATGCCAGAGCGCAAATCTTGAATCAATATAAAGTGACTGCCGAAACCCAAAAGCAAGAACATATTAGAGATATAGGAGTATAAGGTAATCAAAGAGGGATATTTAATAGCTGACTGAAGTTTTAATTTCCTAAACCAATATATACATATATACACAGCACATATATATATAACTATATAAGGATAAGAAAACCAAAAGCACAAAGACTTTTAAGGATACATAAGCAAGTGAAAATTGCTAATGACAGACAAGAGGCAGAGAACTTGAGTTGGATGATGAATCCCACGGCTTAGTTAGGGTTCCAACAAAAAGAAACACAACATATTGATGATTAAAGCATGTGAATAGTCTGGAATATATCTAATGGGAATTTGTTCTTCTTTTTTTTTTTTATATCTATTAGCTTTCATAGATGGCAACATACAACAAAACCTAACACCAGTGTTCATGCAAGATTCGGCAAGCAATATCAATATTCACTATAACTTCTGCAATACACCAAAACAGGTGAAACACCACGAAACAGGCCGAGATAATTACCCAACTGAAATTGAGGGATTTACTTTGTCTTTTTGCTAGATTGGAACATTCTAGCTGAAACAAACGGGAACAGACCAGATTTCAGACTATGCACCTGATAAACTCAGTATTTTAATGCCCATCTTAACTAGGCTAGTACAGACAACATTCCACATGATTGAACCCCTGCAAAGTGAATTGGCACAACCACCGGCAAAGTTATTTCATAAATTTTTCTTCAAGAATGTAAGCGAAGAAAATTAACTTGTTATCTTAGTGAAGATAAGGAAGGCTACATGCACATAATAATAGCACCTTGTGAGATTATTTTTCACTTCAAACTACTCCATCCATACAAAATGTAAAAAATTACCAGTTATAATACTGTTCTATGCAATGAAAATCTTTCCCCGACAACATAAAAAGCATAAAATTAAATCCTCTTTCTTGGCTTTCTCTACTCTCTATGTCCTCTTCACTTCTATCCAACTTTTCCTCAAATGAGCCAATATCGTACAAGTTGGTTTGCACAGTCAAAGAAATGTTTTCTCTTTGTCTCTCTACTCTCTAACTAAAACTTTGCTCTTCATTTGTTTTTGACAAGTTTAACACGCTTAAGTCTGACTGCAGTAAGGAAAATGCAGAAGCAGTTTGATCTAAGCAGACCTATTTCGAGATTTGGCTTCTCCTAGTGAAAGGCTATTTTCCTCTTGAAATTCCGTCCACAATCACATGTTTTATGAGAAGGAATGTAAAAGGACATGCCGCGTGATTGTCAAAGATATCTATAAAAGTATTAAAAAGAATTGGACATGTATTCCAAAAATACAGTATAAGTACTAAATTTTCAACTATGGTAAGTTAGTAAGTATCAGAGTACCCAATAAGTATCAATATATGACCTGTATCAAATGCAGATAAGGCTACTTTGTAGTATTTGTGCTTCCTAGTAAACTAGCACCTTCCAAATATTTTAAGCTTCAACTTTTCAAATTAGTTGTCCACATGTGGTAATTGTCAGATAATATTCACAAATATTGCACCCTAACACGAGGGGTTAGTGTATGGTGAACTCTGTAATCACACTTAATATAGAACAATTCAGACATGATTCTAGCATAACCATAAGCTCTTCCTGCAATTATCTTGTGTAGATCGTATACAACTCGGGGTGTTAAGGTATTCTAAATTCAAGTAAATTTGCTGGGACATTACCTAACTCAGCTAGTCAATTGCTCGTCTTGATTGGATTTCCAAAAAGGAACTGTAGAACAAGCTGCAATAGATTAATGTTCATCAATTTTCTTAACATTGACCAAGCCACTGCTGAAAAAACCTTACACAAGGAAGCAATTAATTCCCAATTCAAATTTAAGATTGTTTCATAGTTATACCTAAATAAGGCCCTTCATAGTCGTGACTCAAAGAACAAAGCATGTACACCAAAAAATTCCTTCCTAAAAATTCCCGAGAAAATTTTCACTACCGATACAAATAATTTTCACTACCAATACAAATAAAGCCAATGGTTGCATAGCTTCAAAGTTCAATTTCCACAACAGTGCCACAATTAACACAACAAATCTGATTCCAGCTGAGTTCAAATTTGACACTACAACAACCAAATTCAATGTTAAACAATCATACTGTACAGACTTGATAGCATAGACACGTGAATTCATACAGAGTTAGAGAAAAATCATAACTTTATGATTAAAATATAAAAAACCAATTAGTAAACGCCTGAAAATCATACCATCGAGTTTATACTAAATTCAAGCTCAAATGATGCTAAACGCGTATATAAATCAATAATTCACATTCAGTCATCAACGCACCTGGACCGACATCGCGAGCGACGGTACCCGTGACGACAAAGATTCCGGCGCCGATTGAAGCGCCGATTCCGATGAGGATGAGGTCGAAGAGGCCGAGACGGCGTATGAGCCCTTCGCCGGAAACTGTACGGACGGCGGCTTCTGAGAAAGGAGTATTATGAAGAGGCTTTGATCGGAGAGCAGAGGACCAAAAATGGGAGAAGCACGAGGAGGAAGAAGAAGCAGAGTTACTGCCACTCTTCTCAATTGCCATCTCTCTCTCTCTCTACACAGAAATAAGCTCTTTCACGCTTGTAATGAGAAAGATATATATATGTAGTACACAAGAGTTGTTGGGATTTGTCTGTTCATATTATTAGATTCTGGTATATAAATATGAGCATATCTGTATATACGTCGATTATTTATTGTCCATTGACCACATATTTTAGTCACGTGGGCGTCACATGCACCCCCAAATGCTTTTGGGACGAATATGATTTTTGGGTTTTTTTCATTTCTAATACTCTGTTATGTAGGAAGGAAGAAAGAGGAGTGAAGAAATTCCTTCGTTCGGTAGGAAGGAGACACGGAGGGAAAGGATAATAGGAGGAATGTCTTATCCCTCATTCTTTATAAATTTTCATCCTCTCAAATTTGGGCGGAAGACAGGAGAGAAAATAAGTGGAGCTATTATAAAATTATTAAATTACAATATTATCCCTTTCAAATATTAAAAATTAAACCATACACATCTCATCTCACGCAAAAAAAAAAAAAAACTCTATCAAGGTTACTCTATCAAGGTATGATTCATATGTTATATATATATATATATACACCTTCTCCTTTATCTTGCTTTGAACCTGACATCTGCAATCCTTATTTGGATGAAATCTGGATCTTATATATATATATATATGGATTGTTTGTTATATAATTTCCTTATTAGTAAAAAAATGATTCAGAAGAAAAAATACACAGTTTACATAAAAAAACCATACAATGCCATAAAAGCATTTTTTTAGAATATATTTAGAACCAAAAAAAAACTCCATGTTCACACCTAGTTCTAAAAACAGTAGTTACTTCACTAGTATTGTCATATATTCTAAGACTACAACTAGTGGTGCAAATAATTTTGAGTGTGCAACGCAAATGGCTGAAAATAAGAATTTTAGTTTGACATCTCTCTACTAGGATAATATTTATCAACAAAGTAAGTATGGGATACACTTTTTTTATATTATTATTATTCATGATGAAATAAAAGCAAACAATAAATTAGAGTGAAATTAATAATACTGTTTAAATGAGTAGTAAAGATGGTGGCCATTTACTAGGAAAAAAAGTTAATGAAGGGTATAATGATAAAAATAATTTTAAATTCTCACTTCCCTTCTCTCGCAACAAACAAAGGAATTTGGTAGGTTCTTCTATTCTCTTCCATCCAACCGAACAAAACGAGGGAAGTCCATAATCTCTTCCCTAGGGATATCTCATCCTTCCCTTCTTCTCTCCCTTCCATCCAATTTACTTCCTTCCTAACGAACGGAAAAGGATAGTAATAGTTTTTTTTTTCTTGATAATTTAAGCAATTTTCGTTAATGAAAGAAACTGTACAAAAGGAGGGCTTAGCCCAAAAGAAAAAGCAAGCCCAAGGCTGCAAAACAAGCCCAAACAAGGACAAACAACATAAAAGCAATAAACTACCACTAACTACCGTTAATGGTGAGCGTCAAAACATTCCGGTGAAGACAAAAAAAGGGGGGGCAAAGCCTTGAAGCCTCAATCTGGCGGCCGAGGGTGAGGCCTATAACATGAAGGAGATAAATTCCCATCCATAAGGATCAAATTCGCTGAATTGCACTATTTTAGACAGCCTAACTTCAAAATACTTGCTATTGTGGAGCAAATTTTTGCACAGACAACTCTCTGTGAGGATTTAAGCCCTTTGAAAATTTTAGCATTTCTCTCTTCCCAGGCATGGTATACCAAAGCAGATAAACATAATTTCCTATGTAGGTTAGTAGGAGTATTTGCTTCCCATTTGGTACTTATCCACAGTACAAGATTCTCCCAATTTGTAATCGCAGTTTGAATATTGCTCTTGTATTTGATAAAATGCCATAGAGAAGAAGTGAAGATGCAATTAAAAAATAAATGATCATGCGGCTCACTTGATATGTAGCAGAGGGAGCAAATGTTATGGTGTTTAGCCATAGATTTACTGTCGAGTGTTGGAAGTTTGCATTAAGCAACCAACCAAAGATTAAATTTCATTCTTGGTATGCTTGGGGATTGCCAAACAAGGTTGTTGTTGGGAAACGTGCTAGTTTGAAAAACTTTTTAAGGGATTTTGATTCATAGATCTTGATTCATCACATGGGGACAAGTTTTATGCAAAAATAAAATATGATATATCATTCAATTAACAGATTGAATACTTACATCAAAAGTCTAAGTAAACCTTTAAATCTTTTCTCAAAAGTGAATGTTCTCACTTATTGTAGATTCCTTAGCAAGATGTCTTCTCCTTGGATCTCTATCTTCTTGGTAATTGTTTTGTCTTTAGGAATCACTCATAAGCCTCCATGAATGACCTTGGAAAACTAGGTTTATGGGAGCCTCTATTAGATGAGAACAAAAACCCTAATTTTCTAGAGAGAGAAAATGTATTCATTTTTCCTTCTTCCAAAAATCACACCTAAAATATACATAGACCATGTATATTTATAGGTAACATAAAGATAAAGAAAAGGAAACAACAATTCCTTCTCAATCTCTAATTCACATGTCTCAAATTTAATAGGATTCCAATATCAAGTTGGGCTATGAGTGAGAATCCTTTGGATTTATTATTTTATTGGCTACAATGAATTAATAATTGGCCCGGTCCATGGACAATTCAATTAATTTATAAATTAATTTCTATTCCATTAAAAGAAATTAATTGAACTCCAATTAAATAATAAATAACTTCTAAGTCAATGTTGCACTTTGACCCCTCTATGCATAATTAGTTGTCGGATAAATAAAGTCATCAATCCAACTACTTAATTAATATATTTATTTTGGTACCATTGATTATTTCTGGTTCGATCATAATAAAACATTTTTTTGACAAAAAATAATAATTTAAATAAATAAATATATAATAAATCATTTTGTCTAAAACTACATGAAGGCCTTCGAATTTACTTTGTGATCAACCATAATCAATACAAAATAAATACAAGTAGCAATGATGCAAATATTAAAAATATAACCCTCTAACTATTAATTACATAATTACCCAAAGTGCCGGTCTAAAGATTCCGAAGATTCCGCCGAACAAATCAAAGTAATTACTAATTAATAAAATAGTCTATACTTCTCTCATACTTAAGAGTCAAATGCCATGACGGTGATAGGGAGCAATTGCATACGACGGCTCTCGCAATATATCTTAACCTAACGCGGATCCAGTTCAAGTCTTAATTAATTATAAGTTCATCCATAATTACCGACTATGAACAATTTATGATTACTATTTATATTCATGCATTAATTGCCATCACATACATATATATAAATATCTCTTGTAATCAAATGGACACTATCAATTTCATAGTGAATCGAAACATAATACATTGAATTCACCAATTATATAAATCATAAATATTTCAGATGTGTCAGGAACATATGTCACTATAATCCAGATAGGAATTTGCTATGACAGGGCATACAAATCCTAACTGCTGTACCATGAGACAATAGGAAGGTCACCTACCATATGTGCCACAGTATGTCTAAATGAGTAGTTGCCATTAGGTGAAGCTGTCCACTTCAAACTATCACTTCTAAAAGGGCATGGACCAGGTAGTAAGAGCAATTCTGGGATTGCACGACTGAGAGATGGAGGGAATGACCATTTGTTGTTGACAATGAATGAATCCACAGTTGTTGTTGTTGGGATTTATATACCCTGGCATAGCAAATTCTTATTTGGATTATAGTGACACATGTTCTTGACGTTTCTGAAATATTTATGTTTTATACAATTGGTAAATTTAATGTATTATGTTTCGATTCATTATAGAATTGATAGTGTCCACTTGATTACAAGAGATATTTATATATGTATGTGATGGCAATCAATACATGAATATAAATAGTAATCATAAATTGTTCATAGTCGATAATTATGGATGGACTCATAATTAATTAAGACTTGAACTAGATCCGCGTTAGGTTGAGATATATTGCGAGAGCTGTCGTATGCAATTGCTCCCTATCACCGTTATGTCATTTGACTCTTAAGCATGAGAAAAGTATAAACTCTTTTATTAATTAATAATTACTTTGATTTGTTTGGTGGATTCTTCGGAATTCTTATACTGGCACTTTGGGTAATTATGTAATTAATAGTTAGAGGGTTATATTCTCAATATTTGCATCAATGCATCTTTTATTTATTTTGGATTGATTATGGTTGATCACAAATTAAATTCGAAGGTCTTCGTATGTTTTTAGACAAAATGATTTATTATATATTTATTTATTTAAATTATTATTTTTGTCAAACAAATATTTTATTGTGATCGAGGCAGAAATAATCAATGGTACCAAAATAAATATATTAATTAAGTAGTCAGATTGATGACTTTATTTATCCGATAACTAATTATGCATAGAGGGATCAAAGTGCAACATTGACTTAGAGGTTATTTATTATTTAATTGGAGTTCAATTAATTTCTTTTAGTGGAGTATAAATTAATTTATGAATTAATTGAATTGGGTCCATGGACCGAGCCAATTATTAATTCATTGTAGCCAATAAAATAATAAGCCCAAAGGATTCTCACCATAGCCCAACTTGATATTGGAATCCTATTATATTTGAGACATGTGAATTAGAGATTGAGAAGGATTTATTATTTCCTTTTCTTTATTTTTATGATGCCTATATATATACATGGTCTATGTATATTTTAAGGGTGATTTTTTGTAGAAAGAAAAAGGAATCTATTTTCTCTCTCTAAAAAATTAGGGTTAATGTTCTCATCTAATGAAGGCTCTCGCAAGCCTAATTTTCCAAGGTAATTCATGGAGGCTTATGAGTGATTTCTAAAGGTAAAACAATTACCAAGAAGATGGAGATCCAAGAAGAAGGTATATTGCTAAGGGATTTACAATAAGTGAGAACATTCACTTTAAAGGAAAGATTTAAAGGTTTACTCAGACCTTTGATGGAAGTATTCAATCTATTAATTGAATGATATATCATATTTTATTTTTGCATAAAACTTATCTCCATGTGATGAATCAAGATCTATGAATCAAAATCCCTCGAAAAGTTTTTAAAACTTGCAGGTTTCCCAACAGTGGTATCATAGC